GAGTGTGGAAATTATCAAACAATATCATTAATATCGCATGCAAGTAATATCTTACTGAAGGTAATTTAAAAACGACTGCAGCAGTATATTGACAGAGAACTTCCAGAAATACAAGCTGGATTCAGAAGAGGATGTGGAACGAGGTATATCATTGCTGATGGCAGATGGATCTTGGCTCAAAGCAAAGAATACCAGGAAGATGTTTACTTGTGTTTTATTAACTATACAAAAGCATTTGATTGTGTGGATCATAACAAATTGTAGATAACATTGAGAAGAATGGGAATTCCAGAACACTTAATTGTACTCATGAGGAACTTGTACCTAGACCAGGAGGCTGTCATTCAAACAGAACAAGGGGACACTGCATAGTTTAAAATCAAGAGAGGAGTGTGTCAGGATTTTACCCTTTCACCATACTTATGCCATCTGTATGTTGAGCAAATAATCCAAGGAGCTGGACTATATGAAGACGAATGTGGCATCAGGATTGGAGGAAGAATCATTAACAACTCTCGATATGCTGACGACACAACTTTGCTTGCTGAAAGTGAGGATGACTTGGAGCACTTAGTGATGAAGATTGAAGAATACAGTCTGCAGTATGGATTACATCTCAATATAAAGGAAACAAAAATCCTCACAATTGAACCTATAAGCAGCATCACAATAAATGGAGAAAAGATTGAAGTTGTTAGAGAGTTCATATTGCTTGGTTCTACAATTGATGCCAATGGAGGCAGCATTCAGGACATCAGATGACATAATAGTACTGGGCAAATTGGCTGCAAACAACCTCTTTCAAGTGCTGAACAGCAAAGATGTCTCCTTGAGGACTAAGGTGCACCTGATACAACCATGGTATTTTCAATCACCTCATTTGCATGTGAGAGCTGGACAATGAATAACGAAGGCCGAAGAAGAATTAATGCTTTTGAGTTGTGGTGTTGCTTAAGAGTGCTGCAAGTTCCATGGACTGCTAAAAGAACTAACAAGTCTGTCCTGGAGGAAATGCAGCAGGAATGCTCGTTGGAAGTGAGAATGGCCAGACTTCGTCTCACCTACTTTGATCATGTTACCAGAAGGGGCCATTCCCTGGAGAAGGATGTCATGCTTGGTAAGGTGGAGGGTCGACAAAAGAGGGGAAGGCCCTCAATGAGATGGACTGACATAGTGGCTGCGGCTCAAGTGTAGCAAGGATCACAGAGCTGGTGCGGGACCGGGCAATGTTTTGTTCTGTTGTGTATAGAGTCACTATGAGTAGGAGATGACTCGCTGGCACCTAACAGCAACAGCACCGAGCCCAATATAGGATAAACCTCCAATCATTATGTGTAGAATCACAAGTGAGTGAGCATTCAGGCAGAAGTACAGGGTGATGAACATGATTGCAGACTTTAGAGCTGAGAAAACTTTGTTCTAATCCTAGCTCCACCATTCGCTAGCACTTGCCCTTGGGAAATAGGTTCTGAACTTCTGTTTGCCCACCTGTAAAATGGGTAAAATATTAGTACCACCTTTGTAGGGTTGATGCAAGATTTTGATTGTCAAGTGCTTAGCACAGTGTCTGATACAGAATGAGGCTAAAGAAATGATAATTTTTATTTGTTTGAATTAATGAAGGGAATTATTAGGTCTTTGGTGTTTATAGATTTGAATCATTATGCCCTGTAAAATCATTAATTCTGTCATAAAACGGGCTTAATATGCTTAATATTAATGTAAGAAAGAAGGCACTCTTTTTTTGAATTGGCAAATGGTTTTGTTGTGGAGCTGAGCCACATTTAGGATTCTGAGTAAAGACAAGGGAAAGAAGGGGAGGTGTACTGACCCTTTTGAAGACTGATGCCTCAGAGAGCAGGGGAGGAAGTGACTTCTGAGCTGAATGTGTCCAAATTGAACATGCCTTTCACCATTGCCTTAGTGCAAGACAGGAAAATATGTTTGAAACTCAGTGAAGTATGCCTATAGTGAGCTGCTCAGCAGTGAGTGGAGCTTGTCTTTCTCACTAGTTCTGTCCCATCTGCCCTCCCAACCTTGGGTCTAAAGGAAATATTAGTTCAGTGGCAGCATGACCTTGGTACGCAGTGCAGCTTTTTCAGCTCTTTGCAGCCTGAGTTCACATGTCAGTGTTTCATGTCTTCCATGGCCTGACATTTCATTTCTTTTGAGCAAAGCAAACTGACATTGAAGCAGGACACTTCAACTGTTAAGTATGTCTCCCATCTCCCTGGGATTGGCATGGGGAGGGAGGAGATCTCTCACCAGCAGGATGGACCTTCTGTTGTTTCCTTCTTATTCATGCGTGCTAAAGGGTTAGCTTTTCTTTTTTAATTAACCTTAAAAAAAAACAAAAAACTGTATATGTAATACTGATTTTTCACCTCTACTGCTGTTTGTTTTGTTCTGCTTTGCTTTTTGGTTTTATTAGTTTCTGCTTTAGTAATTATTTCTCTATTATCATTTCTTTTTTTAAAATTAGTATTACTATTTTTTTAGATTTTTAATGGAAAATTAGGTTCATTTAATTCCATTTTTCTCATTGTTTAGTAAATGCATTTATTAGTACTGTCCTATTTTTCAGCTCAAAATATTTGTACTTCTCACTTAAATTTCTCTTTAGTTCTGAAGAATTTTGACATGTATTTTATAAATTTTCAACAGAATGGATTTTTTTTTGCTTTGTTTTACATTATTGATTTCTAATTTCATTGCATTGTTATCAGTGAATGTGACTTGTAGGATATCATATTTGAGGGAACATGTGGGAACCTGTTTAAGGCCTGAACTATTATCAGTGTTTCACGTGTGTTTTTACAAAACAAAGATGGGTAGTCTGCTTACTGAGTGCTGAGTTCTTAAAATAGCAATTGGTTCCTATTGGAAGCAGTGCTCTTCAGATCTTCCGCATCCTCACTGCCTAGAAAATTTATCATCTACCTGCATTATTTTGGATCCAAGACCCAAAAATCTCCACTTAGGACTTGTTTGTTTAGTGTGACTCATAAAACGTATGCAGGCCAAGGGAAACGAGGGCTTTTCTATCTTTGCAAACAAGGTCAATTTACTGGAGCCTGAAATCTTTTAGTCCCAGTTTATTAGTTGGATGGCGCAAGCGTGTTAACCATTTGCATCATCTAGGGACTCCAGGAGCTCTGGTAATGTAGTATCTAAGGCACTTGACTGCTAACCAGAAGGCTAGTGGTT